ATTTCCAAAAAGTAACCAATGGAAACCTTATAGATCACAACAAAACAGTGTCTGATTCGCTTGCTTTGGACATGTCAACAGATGGGATCAATCACTGGCAGAGGACATCATGTTTGGTGAAGTAGAAGGCTAACAAGGGAAGGGAGACACTCAGTGAGATGGATTGGCACAGTGGCCACAAGAATGGACTCAAACATCTGACGACTGTGAAGATGACACAGGACCAGGCAACATTTCGTTGCTGTACGTAAGGCCGCCATGAGTTGGAGCCAATTTGACAGCACCTAGAAAGTAACAACATGCAGACTTCTCAGAGACAGGGATCTCACATCTTACAAGATATCACTATGGCTTCTATAAAATTTGTATGGTTAGATGATCAATGTCAGGTTAACATTTTAGTTCCTTGAGAGAAGAAAATGCCTTTTTTAAAACTTACATATAGATTTCACATTGTACATGAGAAGACACACAGAATCAACCTGGAGCATTTAGAAATAAAGTTGTCTTTGTCTTTGAAGCCTCTCACACTCTTTTTTGTAAATTCCTGGCTTCCTACCCAAAAGGTACCTGGCCCATCATAGGTGATTTAATAAATGTTTGTTGACTGAATGATGAAGACATTGATGATAATAATGCAGACTTTATCAGTGTTGTATTAAGAATCCATTTGTACACGAAGATGACTTCATCATGGTGGTATAATAGATAGGTCTGTCTCCCTATCCCTCATATACTGAAACTATTTGCTTCTTTGGAACTACAAAGAAGGAGGAAGAGTTTAAAATGTAGGACACAAAATCAATTATCATACTCCTAGGAATAGTTGCTAAATAAATAATTCAATGGAAAGAAAAAACATCATATACAAAGTATGTTTATAAGGTCATCATTGATAATAATAAAATAATTAAATGTTCAATATAAGAAAATGTTTAGGCAAAATATATCGATAGTATGAAATGTCAGGCTGTCATTAAAAATATCATGTTAATAAAATAGAAATGTGGAGGAACACTTATGAACAACATCAAATGAAAAAAGTAGAACACAATGCTTAATGCACCCTCTGATTGCAACTAAATAAAAATTATGTGAAAAAAATTGCAGGATTGAAAATAGAAATTATGGTTAACAATTATCAAAAAAAAAAAAAAAACCAGTTGCAGTTGAGTCGATTCTAACTCATGGTAATCCCATGTGTGTCAGAGTAGAACTGTGTTCCATAGGGTTTTTCAGTGGCTAATTTTTGAGACACAGATTGCCAGGCCTTTCTTCCGACATGCCTCTGGATGGACTCAAATCGTCAAACTTTCAGTCAGCAGCATTTTGGCATTAACCATTTGAGACTCCCAGTGACAACAGTTATCAAAGAGGTTCCTATGTGGTAGGTTCTGTTCTAAGTGTATTGGATTAATTCATCTAATTCTTACAACTGCATGAGGTAGGTACAGTTGTTATCTTCATTTTACAGATGAAGAAACTGAGGCAGAGAAGGTCTAATTTGCTCGAAGTCACACAGCTAGTGAGTGGCAAAGCCAGGATTGAACACAAGCAGTATGACTCCAGAGTCTACTCTCTTAACCATGCAAAACTGCCAGAGAAAATAATCTTTAAATGGTGGGTCATTTTTTAAAATATTTTCTTGTATAATGTTTTTATGTTGTCTTAATAGTAAGTAAAGAGCCAGAAAAGAAATCACAGAGGTAAAGCTACATTATACTTAGAAGAGACAGATACTGAGGTAAAGGTGTGAAACACATTGAGTGAAAGCATCTGGGTATGACCAAATTTTGTTTTGGATTGGGATCTAAATAGTGTTTCAGGAGGGTCCAATGTATCACCAACTTGATAGTTTACAAAGGTTTAGCTAAATTAGCTATTATAATAAAATGTTATTCTAAGCATTATTAGTAAATAAAAATTATACTCTGGCCTGAGGGCTCATACTTGTTATTTCCTCTGGTAGAATGCTCTACCCCCAGACATTTTTGAGGTTGGCTCCTTCTCAACTATGGTGGTTGTCAAAATGCAACCATTGCTACATTTGAGGGAGGCCAGCCAAACTTCTCACAGGTTGTTCTCAGTCAATGACTGAGCAGGGCAGGATTCTAAAGTAGATCCATCCTCGGGAGACACCGGCTTCCTTTGACGGGCTCTGGGGTTCCCTGACAGCCTTGAGAAACTCTTTTAGAACTACTGTTTAAGATACTTCCACCCAAACTTTCTTCTTTCTCTCTTTCACCTGGGGTCAGATCTGCATTGAAGTCTAAAGGCGCCAGCTTCATTCTCAGCTTCCTGTCTATTTCTCTAGGAAATCTCTTACATAGCTAATTCCTCCTTAGTATCTGCTTCTTGGAAGTCCCAGATCTTTGTTGTAGTTAGCTGCCATCCAGTCGGCCCAACTCGTGGCAACCGCATGAACAATGGAATGAAACACAGCTCAGTACGTTGTCCAGTCCTGAGCCATAATCTGTTGCAGATCAGTTGCAGATCGTTTGCAGATTAGACCATTGTGATACATGGATGGGGTTTTTATTGTTTAATTTTCTAAAGCAGATCGCTAGGCCTTTCTTCCTATTCCATCTTAGTCAGAAGCTCGCTGAAATCTGTTAAACATCATAGCAACATGAAAGCCTCCACTGATAGATCAATGGTGGCTGCGCATCAGTGGCCTTGGCTGGGAATTGAACCTGGTCTCCATGGAAGGCGAGAATTCTACCATTGAACCAGCATTGACTCCAGACCCAGATCAGCACATCAATATTCAGGTCTCAACTCAATGTTACCTCCTCAGAGAGACCATCTGAGACCACCCTATTTACTGTGCCCCTACCCACCATAACCCCCTATCCCCAAGCCCTCTCTGTCAGATGCTCTTGTTTCATGTCCTTTGTGGCACTTACTATATGGCTATTTGCTTACTTATTACATATGTTCATTGAGGTCAGAGCACTTGCCTGTCTTATTCACTGCTTTGTCTCTAGAGTCAGACCAGTGCTAGGCATATAGAGGATACTCCATAAATACTTGGTAAATGAATAACTGACCAAAAGCGCAGGGTAACATTCCATAGCAATAGTGAGGCTTGTAAATAATGAGGAAAAAAGTCATCATTAAGAAGTTTCAAAAATAAAGAGAAAATTCAAAAAAAAGAAGATGAAGCCAATGAACAAATATTGAAATATTAAAGGGAAAGGAAAATTCAAAGAAGGCCCTCAGCCAAAAAACGCATGTGAGTAAATTCAACTTATTATCAATTTTATTCTTAGCATAATAAAGAATATATTTGACACAAGAGCCAAACTTACACTTAATAGAGAAACACTAATGATCTTCCCCTTAAATACAAGAAGAAGCAAGGACTTCCTTTATTATCACTCATATTTAAGATGGTACTAATTGTATTTAAAGTTAGGGTTAAAGATCTCGACATTAATTAACTAGTCAAAAACATCCACAGTGAAAATTCCTTGGTGGAATTGTAGAGGATTGGTCCTCAGTTATACAGATTCAGAAACTCTACTTTGTACCCCTTGATCCAGAATTCAGCAGGCATTTGTTGTTTCATTTGCCTATCACCTCTTCCCACAGCTTCTGGAAACAGCACTTTGATTTTCATTTGGGTTACCTGCCCGCTTGCACTTCTTGCTAGGATCTCAGTAACAATGCCCTGCCCTGATGGGGGCAGCACAAAAGAAGCGGAGGGGGACTTGGGATGATAGGAGAAGGAGGATAGAAATGGAGAGGATTCAGGAAGACAGTCAACAGTAGAGAAGCAAGAAGGTTATTCCTCGGGGAATGGATGGCTGAGGGAGTTTAAAATTAGGTGGATCTAATATTGAATTTTTAATAGTTGCTCTGCTATGCCTTCTAACTCTCCTCCATTATCCCTAGAAGCCAGCTGCTGTAGAGTTGACCCCCGCACATGGTGACCCCATGTGTGTCAGAGTAGAAATCATAGGGATTTCAACAGCTGATTTTTCAGAAGTAGGTCACCAATCCTTCCTTCCAACGAGCCTTCTGGGTGGACTCAAACCTCCAATCTTTTGGTTAGCAGCTGAGTGTGTTAACTGCACCACCCAGGGACTCTATTATTGCTAAACATTCAGTAAAACTCTGCTGTACACAACTATCTTGTGCTTCCCTATTTTTTAGAGAAAATCAAGGAAGAGGTGCTATTTTGGATTGGTGTCCTAGAGGTAGAGAAAAGCTCTAAAGGAGGCAGGAAGGAAAGGAGCAGAAAATTGGAGGAAGAGGCAACGATACGAATATGAGAACATAAATCCCCAGAAATCTGAAGGAGAAAGGTCAATTGACTTCCCACCAACAACTGGACGAGAGCTCAAACCATTCGTTTCTGTAAAATTGAACTTAAGGCGTGATCACACAAAGAACTTGGAGACAAACAGGCAACTAATTCTTGAGTTAACACCTAGTCTGTGTTAGACCAAAGTGACAAATTCTTACTCACAGACTACTATCTAGAGAGTATCCTATCATACCCTGAGTTTTGTTAATCCTTTCTTTACACTCAGTTTAGCTGTTTTGACTCATTTCTTTATTTTTAATCTTAAGGATATACTCTGATATCCTTGACAAAAAATTGGTGTTTCCCAAGTCTCTACAACAATTTCACAAACTATCTTCTGCAGATGGCTAATTTAAGGGTGGAAACAGGCTGTTTTCAATTTCAGATGGTGATTTTTTTTCCTGGTATTTTCCCTAATTCTCTAGTCTTCTATACACTAAACTCCAGATTTAATTTTCTTAGATATGCTGCTAATAGATATTAGAGATGAGAAATAAATTAAAAGTATATAATATTGCAGAAAGAAATAAAAATGTCATTCTTTGCAACTGGCATGATTAGCTGTACCTAAAAGAGTGCTCAAAAATTACCAGTAGTAATAATTCTATGTGAGTTTTAAAAATACATGATATATAAAATTCATTTTTAAAAATCGTTTGCATTCCTTCACTTTTACAACCTCACCTCCCACTACAACACTTGCTCTTTATAGCCAACACTACTTGAATCATCATAAATAACAGTTTCTCAAATATGCCTTGCTTGTTTCATACCTCTGTGCTTTAGAACATGCTGTTTCTCTTCAAACGTGGATAACAGCTTCTCTTCCTTCAAGATTTAACTCAACCATCTCCTTCCCTGTCATCCCCAGAATTGGATGCTTTCTCCTCTCAGCTGCTTGTAAGCATTGCATTTTCCTTTCTGGTAGTCCTTCTCACATTGATTCTATCTGTAAATGAAGAGTTCTCAGAAATACTCAATATGTTTCTCTAATTACAGGCATGTTCCCATATTACAGACAATATATTTATACATTGTTTTTTTAATACCTATAAATACATACAGATTAATCTCATTTTATGCATTAGGTGTAATCCTAAAACTTCATGTATAAAAAATGCATATCCAGTCATATTTTTCCATTAATTTTCATTATAACTTTAGTGATATATCATCATATATGTTTGTGCATGTATACATATATATGTATGTGTACACATATATATGTAATAACTGTGGTTTAAACAAGTTTATTTTTCTCTCACATAAATCTGAAGATAAGAAGTACAAGGCTGTTCCCAAGGTTCCATGGTCATCATGGACACAGGCTCCTTCTATCTTTATTCTCCACCATTGTAGTGCCAGCTTCTATCAAGGTCTCTTCAAGTTCATTATGGCTTCTAGAGTTCCAGTTATTGCATCCATCACACAAGCAACAGGAAGGAAGAAGGGCATACCTCCAAGCTTAGTAATTTCCATCCAAAAGGTATCGCACAAAAATTCTGCTTATATTTCGTCAGCCAGAACTTAATCACCAAGCCACATCTAGATGCAAGGGAAACTGGGAGATATCATCTTTAATGCTAAGCAAATTGCCACCCATGTAAGACAAAATTCTGTTAGTAAGAAAGGAAAGTAAATCATAAGTAGGCAGCTGGCGAGCCCTGTCGCAAGGCTAAACCAAGCTTCTAGAGAGAACTCAGTTTTGCACTAATTTATCAGATAGTCTGAGTACCACGAGTTATCATTTCAAGCATAAGTAAATAGATGAATATCCTCTATAGTTTTCAGAGTATTCACTTCCAGTTTTTTTGTATAATTTAATTAAATTTAGCAATGATTAGACAAATATATCCATAGCCACAAATGTAACCAGTGTATGTTCAATTCTACTCCTGGTGTGAAAAGTACACAAGCTTCCCTTCCTCCTTGCTATGTCCTATTTTGAATCAAGTGGAATGTGCATGTGTATTTTGTATCCCAAAAATGTAATGAAACCATAGTAACGGAGTTAAATACATAAGAAACTATGTGAAATGCATCTTTAAAATCCAAATCTGACATTCTGCCAGTTTGTGAAGACATGAATAATTCAGTTGTAACAAATTTACAGATAAATAACCTTCCAAATTATACTTTAAAAGATTTTGTGTAAAGGATCATTGAGGAAAGAAACTTCAAGGTAGAAAAAAGGTAACTAACCCAATACATTGTGAAAACAAACCTTAAAATTTGAGCAAGTTGATGAGTTGTTGAAACCGACAAAAGCCTACTACCTCTAGCCAAAGGACCAGAAAAGGGGCCACCTAGCAAGACAGAAAACTTTTAGACAATAGCTGCTCTACTCCAGGCAAAAACCATAGAATAAATATTGGCCCCACCCTCACCAGCACCAAAAAGGCAAAGTGGGGAGTCTAAGGTCCCTCCTCGCAAGGCTGTAATGAGGTACCCCAACACACAGCCCCTTTCTGGGATGTGTCAGAGAAGGCTGAGTAGGAAGTCCAGACTTTCATCCACTCTGGATTTAGCCTTCCTCTCCCCTGCAGTGTCAGTGGACAGCATGTGAGGAGACTGGACTTCTACACAGCAGTAGCAATGAGCCCCTTCCCACTCTACCTTGGTTATCAATGGAGGCTGAATGAGAAATCTGGACTTTTACCCGCACTTGGCAGTAATGAGATGATGCTAACACTACTCTCCCTTCCTTGCCCCCACCACCCGCCCCCTTCCCACCACTGGAGCAGTGTCAAAAGAAGCCAGCTAAAACAGAAGGTTTAAATAAGATCCAGAGTCTCATAACATAATACCTAAAATATCAGGTTTCATCTGAAAGTTAAGAACCAGAAAGACCTCAAACTAAATAAAAAAGACAATAGATGCCAATACTAAGATGACAGAGATGTTAGAATTATTTGACAAAGATGTTCTAGCAGCCATCATAAATGTGTTTCAACAGCAGTTATAAAAACGCCTGGAACAAGTGAAAAAATAGGAAGTCTCAGCGAAAAACAAAGTATCAGCACAAAAGTAGAAGTATAAAGAGGAATGAAACGGAAATTTTAGAACTTGAAAAGACAATAACCAAAGGAACAAAAAAAAAAAAAAAGCATAATGGATGGGTTCAATAGCAGAATAGAAGACAAAGAAAAGAAATAGTGAACTGGAAAATAGAACAATAGAAATTATCCAATCTGAACGACAGCACTGTGTCTGTAAGCACATCCTCATCTAGGAGAAGAGTAAAGATTGGTTTTGTTTCTAGCCCACCAAGAAGGATTAATCTGAATGATTGTAGATGGAGAGATAAGGGCCAGCTTTGTGTAGAGAAGAGGAAAGGCGAGAACTGAAGCAACTGATGTCCCAATTCATATCCTTTGTACCTCACATCTGAATTCATTTAAGTCTAGAGCTCCCAGTCACTTTACACTGGCAACTTTGCTTTCTGCTCTGGGGCTCCAGTTAACGCCCCTTTCTTAGTTTCTTAGCGCTGCTTTACCACGAGTGGGTGGCTTTAAAGAGATTTATTTTCTTACAGTTCTGGAGGCTAAAGGTCCAAATCGAGTTCTCAGCCCCATCGATTCCTTCCTTGTCAGTAGCCTGGGCATTCCTTAGTTACATCTGTCTTACCTGGTTGGTGCTTGCTTGTCTCTGTGACTAGGCTGCTCTTTATATCATTCAGAAGTGATTAGGTTTAGGACACACCCTACACTGATATGGCCTCAATAACATAACAAAGAAAGCTCTTTTTCCAACTAGGATTACATCCACAGGTATAGGGATCAGGACTCCAATACATATTTTGGGGGGACACAGTTTAATCCATAACATCCCCTAAGAGCAACCTATAAGGGAAAATAGCTGATGTATATATACATTTTCCACCTTCAGGCATTTGAGCAGCAATTCAGGAAGGCATTTAGTAGGCTGTTCAGGAGATTTCAGCGGAATCAAACTCTTGCTGCCCAGAGTTTGATCCCATAACACACCCTCATATTGACTTTTCCTCCTTCCCTGTCTCACTCTCCCAAGTACCTCAACTCTGGTTCCCTAGGATCACCCTGTATGTCCTGCTTACACATAAGTCTTTATCTCAAACTCTGCTTTTGCATGAACCCAACCTGAGACAGAGCCTACTCCTAGACTCAAAGTAGGATCTAGAGTTTGAAAGGATTTCCAGGAATAGCAGCTGTCAGGTTCTCACTCATATGCAGCACCCAAGATGGGGATAAGCCACTCCTCCAAGTGAACTCAGGGATACACCAAGCAGAAGTCTATGTCATTCACCACAGCCTTGACCACCAGAAGACCAGCAATCCACAGCTACATCAGGGGAAAGAATCAATGGCAATGTAGTCAATGTCCAAGGACTAAATGTAAGACCCTTCCCAAAATTCGTGGGATTACATTAGTTTGTGATTCTTGCATGATTCCCTGGAGGGGGGTAAACCAGTAATTTGCTGTCTAGTCAATTCCAACTCGTGGTGACCTATGTGTGTCACAGTAGAACCCTGGTCCACATAGGGTTTTCAGTGGCTGATTTTTCAAAAGTAGAGCATCAGGTCTTTCTTCCTCCAACCTTTTGTTCAGCAGGCAAGCACGTTAACAGTTTGCACCACCCAGGGACTTCAGAGGTGGGTAACAAGCTTGAATAATAACTGAGGTTTCATTTCAGGCAACGTAAATGTGTGAGGGTTCAAAGCAGATGACTTTTGGTTTAAAGAAATTAGGAATACGACATGTCTTACACCCTGGTGCTATGGACTTATTAACGGCTGCAATCGGTTGTATAAGAAACGAAGATCAAGGTATGTTTCACACCATCTTCCAGAGGTCCTCATCCACAGGTACTCAGCCAAATGAACTCCAAATTAGGGAGAATTTTTACTACTTGTGTTAATAAAATAGAAGAAACATTTTTGCCTCTTCCCTTTTCCCCCAAGACTAATTTAAATACAGAAAAAAATAAAGAAGTTAGGAACAACTCCATTTCGCTGTTTTTCTAACATTGCATGTGATTTCATGTAACTGATAACACATTGATAGCCAGGCTTGTTTAGTTCAACTTAATTCTTGGCTTCTGAACAGCAGTGGGAACAAAGCCCACAGGAAAATTTGGCCTGCCAGACACATTTTTGTTACTTATTAGGAAATCTGCTGGAAGAACTGATGGCAGCCTTCACTCTTTTCTATGAGGTAAAAACTACTATCTTTCTCCTTTAAAAGGAATTTGTACCTCTATGTGCTAATTTTGAGTTCGTCTATTTTGAAGTTTTCAGATATCTACTAGAAATTGTCCTCTGTGAAATTCCTTCTTAATCGCCTGCGAAATTTCATCGAATTAGTACCTTGTGTATATCTTCACCTTTGCATCTAGCTGGGAGACACTTACCGAATTGTTGAGTGAGTAAGTAAACAAATAAATGTGTCTTTGGGGAAGAAGGTAGGTTAATGAACTCAATTCCATTTTGAAAACAGTCTTTATCCTAGATGGCTAAGGCTGTTTTTCTACTCTGTGTAATTTCTTGCATATTAACTTTAAAAGAAATAAAGTCTTAAGAAGAACTCTTCTACGTTATTTAAGCTGAAAGTTCTTGAATATCCTTCCATAATGCAACTAGAGTCCTCAGGGGTTGATAACAACATTCAAAAGGACATTTCAGCATATTACCTACTCCTCTCAAGGCTCCTAAGTATGGGCACTTTGATAAAGTGTGGATAGCAATGTAGTGTGAGAATGCGGCTAGGGCAGGTATAGGTGACATCAGAAGCAAACTGCCACATCTTCCTCCTGTGGAGTGGCTGCTGGGTTCGAACCACTGACCTTTGCAGAGAGGTGGCAGAGAACAGAGCATTGCCTTAAACACTGAGGCGTCACACTTTATGAAACACTGCCATAGGAGTTTCTACAGTCTAAACTGATATTGGGGGATCCATAATCATCTTAGACTAAAACCAAATCTTAGACTAAATCAAACCAAAAACCAAACCCATTGCCTTGGAATGTGAGGCAGAGAAGTTAGATTCTATCCTTCCCTGAATGGCCCAAAGCTAGCTATCTCCTAATGTGGTGGAAAAAATGAACCCCATGTTCTATTTAGCATGAACTAGAAAATTTATGGATTCACAACGGAAGCCAGCACACAATATTATAATGTATATATTAATGATTTTATTCAAAGAATCTTAAGTAAACAAAATCACCTCGATGTAGAAAATAAACTTCAGTTGCCATGTTTACATATTCACAGACCTATCTGTATTAATATATTTTTAAATTTACTCACTTTTTTCACTTAAGTTTCTTAATAAAGAATTTTCAGGAAGCTAAAAATGCAAAGATCTGTTATTTCCTCCTTCGACCTCATCCTCTTTCAGCCACAGCTCAGAAACCAGCAGCTAACACCCAACATCCAGCGCCCTGCTGTTGCCTGAGATAGAGCTTTCTCCAGGGGGCCCTGCTAAAATGCCTAGCATGCTGTGGGAGTTGAGTGTTGTGATGGGCAGGCAGCTCTTTTAATTGGAACCTGTCCAGAGCACCATTGTCCTGTAGAAATGTAATGAGAGCCACAAATGCAAGCCACATATGTAATCAAAATTTTTCCAAAAGTAACATTAAAAAAAGGAAAAAGAAGCAAGTGAAATTAATTTTAATAATATATCTTTAGTTCAATTTATCCACAATATTACCTTTTCAACATGTGAGCAGTACAATTATTAATGAGACATCTTGCATTCTTTTTTTTTTTTTTAACCAAGCTTTGAAAAGCTGGTGTGTATATTTTACACTTACAGCACATCTCAATTTGGATCAGGCACTTTCAAGTATTCAATAACTGCAAGTTGATAGCAGCCTTCATATTGGACAGCATGGGCCTAGAGCTTACTATGGTAGTACATTTACAGAGGACAGGCAAAGAACATAGCATCGCCTTACACATCAAGGTGTTACACTTTAGGAACACTGCCATAGGAGTTTCCACATGAGTCAGAATTGACTCCAAGGCAATGAGTTTGGTTTTTGGTTTGCTTTAGTCTAAGATTTGGTTTTAGTCTAAGATGACTATGGATCCCCCAATATCAATTTAGACTGTAGAAACTCCTATGGCAGTGTTTCATAAAGTGTGACGCCTCAGTGTTTAAGGCAATGCTCTGTTCTCTGCCACCTCTCTGCAAAGGTCAGTGGTTCGAACCCAGCAGCCACTCCACAGGAGGAAGATGTGGCAGTTTGCTTCTGTAAAGATGTACAGCCTTGGAAACCCTGTGGGGCAGTTCTACTCTGT